ATGTGGCAGCCTGTTGTGGTTCCTGGACACCTCTCAGTGTGACCAAGGGGCTAAGGGGCTTCTGGATCAGGAGAGTGGTTTGAGTTTCACAGCAACATGTGAGCGAGGAAGAATATAAATGTCACCCACAGCTTGTGAGCACAGCCTCATGGGGAGAGGAGAGGGGTGCTGTGAAATATTTAATCTGCTGTGCGAAGGGATTAGAGGGGAGTCTGGAAGGAATTACAGAGAGGGAAAGAGGGAGATTAGGGGAGATGCACTACCAGAGAATTCTACAGTAAGTGTAAAAGGCATTCATAGCATTCACAGGGTCTGATTGGTGCATCTGCACATGAAGTGTGTGAGCGTGCAGACACGCAAAATGCAGAAAGAACTTTTGAACAAGCTACACTTATAAATCAAAGAATTACAGTGTTGCATTGGTAAAGGTATAATTGTTTTTCTTTAGCAAAATACACTTAGAGATATTATTTATCTGCAAACAAACAAATAGAGATTGAACTCAGGGCTGTCTGCCTTCTAGGCAAATACTCTGTCCCTCAGATCAGTCCTGGCTTTTTAATAAAACATCATGACAGTACACGATAACGAGGGACTGCATCAGAGCACAACACACAGGTGCAGTATTTAATCAGCAAAGTGAAACACTGGGCCATCTTTTGTGTTGAGAAAGATAGGTTCTTCTCTTCTAATTCATTATTTAAATCTGTGTGATTAAAAACCCAGGATAGCACTTTTGAAGCCCTTTGTGTGATTCTTATGATTATGAATATCATGTGTTAAAAATACACAGCTGGTTGGGTGAGCTGTAATCCCTAAATCATGCTGTGACACATAAACATGTCTTTCTCCTGTGAAGTTGTGTTTCGTTTCCATTCATCAACAAACCCAGTCTCTCCTCCCTTACCCCTCCAGTAAATATTATTCTACCTCTGGCAGTGACTTTTTAATTTTTTAAATTTTGATGGACGTGTCTTCATTCATTGATATGGTTTTAATATTAGTGTGTGTTTGTGATGCATAATGATTACCTTCATCTGGAGAAATTTATCCACCTACAGTCACATCCAGTCAGCTTATTTCCCTGTCCCCTTCCTGTCCTCCAGGCTCCCCTGATACCCAGACATCACCCCATATCCACAGTGTCACCCTCATTTCTTATCATCTTTTATTTGCTATTCAGATCATTTATATTTTGGATTTAACGTGATGTCTATGTGTATGAATATAGTACACACTGATTGAAAAAAGTTGAAAAGATAATCTGAAACATGAATCAGAAAAGACACAGAATACGAATTATTTTACAGGTTATCAGTTCACGGTAAAATTGTCACAGGCTTGTGGAAGCAGCAGAATGTGACGGGAAGTCCTCAAAAATCATGCAAGCAACAGTTTCTAAATTTTTAGCTTGTTTTATATAAAGAAATGAGCTTAATGCAGATTAAATGTGTTTTAATCAAATCGAAAAGACTGAAGCCTTCCAGGTCCTGGCTGAACGGAGGAAATATATAAAAATGTATCAAATCACAGCAAGCCAAGGATAATAAAAAAGCACAGAAATGCGGAAGGAGCTGGAAATACAGGTGTTTAAGTGCCTGAAATGCTTTGCTGAGCAAAGACGCGGACCCACACTTTGTATTTCTTATTTAAAGCAAAGACTTGCAGGTGGATAATGTGAATTAGACCATTCTTCCAAAAGGAAGAGAGCATACAGGGTGCACTCTGATGGCTTCTCTGCTTCCCCTCACAGGGGCATCTGTGACTCAGGCTCCATGAGTGCAGGCGCCTTGGGCTTCTCCTTCAGGCTCCTGCTGCGCTGTCTCTCGTCCTCCCTCTGGTCATCAGCAAGGCCTGGGGCAGTGGGCGCACTGTTCACCACTCCTGCCAGCAACAGAAGTAAACAGAGCATAGTGGATAAACTCAGGGTTGTGAGTGGACAGCTGGGAGACGGCAGCCAGGTCACTGGCTGCTCCTGCTGGGCACACTAGCTCTTGGGGGACCTCAGGCCCAGCGCTCTGCCACCTTGTGCTGCAGCATCTGCTGAGCTCCCAGACAGAGCTCCTGCACGCAATCACGGAAAAGTAGGTCCTGTGTCACCGTGCAGATGCCCCTTCACTGGGTAGCGCTGGACACTCAGCTGTGAGGGAGGAAAGACAGTGGGCAGTAGCTGAGTATCAGTCTCCTAGGCAGAGTTCAGATCTCAGTAACCGCCATGTCCTTCTACCCAGGCTGCACAGCTGAGGGCCACCCGAGGGGGGGATTCGGGCACCTATATGGGCTCGGTGACCCTATGTCTCTCTCCTTACCTCCTGGGCTCCTCATTTTGATGTTCTATGAGACACTGGCCTGATGTGACAAGATACTTACTCTTCCTGCTGATTCTGTTCCTGAGACGGTGGTTTATGCGCCAGTAAATCTGCTTTCTATTCCCATTGTCCGTTCTCTCTCCTGCCTTTCAGGAGCAAAAGCTTTTAGTGCTTTATCTTTCCTATAAATTTCAGAGCTTTTATTATTATTTTTTTATTTAAAGAAAGCAAGAAAAAACAAAATACAAAAGAAGGGTAGTACAATACAAAATTCAATAACAAATTTTTTAAATTTAATACTAAGGAATCACTATTTGATACATTATATATTATCATCTTAGAAATTGTTGTTCAAGTTACAAAATCAAAGCATAAAAAGTGGGCAGACATTCAAACATTGGCAGTGTGAGTGTAAGTAAGATTCACAACCATATTAGTATTTTTGTTGGACCATTGAACAGAATAGCTTTTTTAAAAATCCAACACTGATGAGTTATTCTGATGAGGTCTCCTACTGAGATGTCTACTCTGATCACACTGCCCAGTACAAAAATCCCAAGTAGATTTGCGCACATGTTGTGGCCCACAGTAACCCAAGAAATAATGCACAAACAGGTTTACAGGACCAGAAGCCAAGGTTTTATTTCAGCCGTGCCCTTGTTGCAACTCAGAGGGCCAGTATGCACTCAGGGCTCCTGAACTGACCCGGTGGAGCCGCTGGGAGCCGCTCTTACTGCACAGCAGCTGAAGGCCTGGGCCCTGAAGGTCAGGGCTGGAAACAAGGATCTTCTGCAAGGCTGACTGGGGGGTTCTGTGTGTAAACAAGGGGCCCTGTTTTAGTTCTAGCAAATGCCGTTCCTCTGATCACAAAGGCCATCACAACAGTACCAGAGAAGCAGAGGGAAGTGACGCTGCGGGCTGCACTCAGGCTGATGGCCAGCAGGACACTGCTGGACAGCCAGGGGACACGGAAGCAAAGTGTCCCAGGGCCTGGAGGCAGAGAGGGAGCAAAGAGGGGCCGAGGGAAGGAGCCCAGCCACCCCCTCCAGCTGGTGCTGGGGAAGGGGAGTCAGATCCTCCTGGCCTTCCTCTGTTCCCCGTGACTCAGTTTCCAATTTTAATACAATGGCACAAAACAACTCTGCACAGTGGGGCAGACAGGGCAGCCCGGAAATAAAGTAGAGGACATAAAATGATCCCAGGCCACTAAAGCCCTCTGGGTTCCTGGTGAAGATTGCAAAAGTGAACTTGGGAGAAAAGAGAGCCTTTAAACAGCTGCTGCTGGGCACACTGGAATTCACATGCAGAAGAAACCACGTATGGGGCTGGGGATTTAGCTCAGTGGCATAAATGCCTGTCTTGCAAGTGCAGAGTTGCAAATTCGATCCCTGTTACCGATTAAAAAGAGTAAGAAGAAGAAACCACATGTATGAAAATTATCTCTAAAATGTCAAAGAACTCAGTGTAAGACCGGAAGCTTTGAAATTAGTCGGAAAAATGTAGGAAAAGCCTTTCAGGTTATGAGCTCAGGGAGGGACGTCTCCAAAGGAGTTCCAGCAGCACAAAAATAACAGCAAGAGTCAGCAAGTGGGAATCCATGAAATTAAAGGGTTTATGCACAGCCAAGACATGGCAGAAACATTCCACAAAATAGCACACCGACTACGCTGGTGAAAGAAAACATAAAGAACCCCCAAAATTAACATCAGATCTAATAATGAACAGGCACTGAGCAGGACAAGTGCAAATGGGCAGGAATTGTATGAACGTGGTCGATATTTTCGCTAATACAAAATGCGAATCTAAAGTATATTCAGGTTCATTTTACCCCCATCATCATGGGAGCATCGAGAGCACACATGTGGACGAGGGAGAAAATAATTTTATTTTCATTGGAGGGAACGTTCCGTAGCATGGTTACTGTGGAAATCAGAGCAGAAGTTCCAGAAAAACTACCACATGGCCGCCATGGGAACCAACTGCAAACATCCTCAGTATATAATCAAAGGCAGGAAAATTATTATACTCCACAGGCACCCGTGTAATAGTGCTTGTCAGGGTGCAACTCTCAGTAACCAGGAATGGAATGAGCCAAGGTTCCAATCAGAAGACGTGATGTGGATGAAATGAATAGTCAGGGAGGTGGGTGACAGGCAGATGGACAGGGAGACACAATGATTAGACACACAGACCGATGGCAGGTATATTGATTAACTGACTCACATATAAAAACGAACAAAATGATGTCATTTGGAGAAAAATGGGTGGAACGGGAGAGATTATGTTATGCAAACTAAACCAGACTCAAAAGAAAACTATGTCATGTTTTCCTCTCCTCAATGGAACTTCAAATAGAAATGGATGAAGTGAGAGGAGAAAGGAGACCAGGAGCAGAACAGGAATAGGAAAGGAATCGGGGGAAAGAGCGGGGTCAGGACATGGAGAGTAATAAGAACAGTAACGCAGAGCAAAGCACATCGCTGTTTGGACGATTGTGCAGAAGGAAATGCCTTACAGTGTGTAACTGATTGGCAGTATTAAAGGTAATTAATTAAAATTGAGCTGCTTATATCTTCAGAAACATTGAAATCAGAGTAACGGTAATTCCAAGTAAACCATGGCAATAGTGAGTTTCATTCTCAGCTGGGCAAAACATCCCAGCCTGAGGCCCGAGGTTTGGGTCCCGTGATGGCAGACATCCCTCAGGCCTAAGACAGTGGATTCTTTCAGAGTTTCCTTCCAAAGAGTCTCAGCAGAGCCCTCTTGACATCTCTGTTCCTCAGGCTATAGATGAAGGGGTTCAGCATGGGGGTGACAACGGTGTACATCACGGACGCTGTGGCGCTCTCGTGTGAGCTGTGCGCTGAGACAGAACTGATGTACACGCCCAGGCCTGTGCCATAAAATACAGAGAGAGCCGCGAGGTGGGACGCACAGGTGGAGAGGGCTTTCTTCTCCCCTCCAGCTGAGGACAGCCCACGGATGGAGGAAGCGATCTTAGAGTAAGAACAAAGGATGCCAGTGAGGGAAGCGGTAGCCAGCAGCATGGGGACCAAATACACCACGAGGTCATTCAGAAGGTTTTCAGAGCAGGCAATCTGGGCCACTTGATTGAGTTCACAGAAGAAGTGAGGGATTTGGGGGTCAGTAGAGAAAGACAGCTGCAGAGCCATTAAGCTTTGCAACAAAGCGTGCAGGACACTCAGAATCCAGGACCCCAGAATGAGGAAGCCACACCGGCAGGGGTTCATAATGACCATGTAGTGGAGGGGGTGACAGATGGCCACGAAGCGGTCGTAGGCCATGACGGCCAGGAGGAAGTTGTCCAGCTCTCCAAAGAGCAAGAAAAAGGACATCTGCGTGATGCAGCCTGCGTAGGTAATGAGCTGGCTGTGTGTCTGGATGTTCACCAGCATCTTGGGCACAGTGGTGGAGGTGAAGCCCACGTCCACAAAGGACAGGTTGGAGAGGAAGAAGCACATGGGCGTGTGCAGGTGGGGGTCGGAGACGATGGCCAGGAGGATGAGCAGGTTCCCGAGCACCGTGGTCAGGTACATGGAGAGGAAGAGCCCGTAGATGAGGGGCTGCAGCTCTGGGTCCTCTGAGAGTCCCAGAAGGAGAAATTCTGAAATTCTGGTGCTGTTCTCTGCTTCCATATGGTGGATGCAACTATCAGGGAAAAAGAAAAGTCACATGAGTCCTCTTTGAGCACAAAGACATTACTAGTTTTGTCGAATTTCCACAAGTTAAGTTTTGCAGTCTATAAATCCCATTGTACAATTTAAGGTCCCCTGGGGGAAATCGCTGGTGCTATTCCTGATTTGAAATTTCTGTCCCTCTCTGAGGTTTCTCCCCCAAAATCATGTCTCTTGTAGATTTCCTATGAAATTATTTCTCACAAGTGAGGAATATATATGGGGTGATGACCATCTTCTATGAACTGAAAAATGATGAGCAGAAGCTGAAAACTAAAATTTCTACCTCCCAATGGTTGGGAAAGAATATATGCAAACAAGAACATCATATATATTATTGCTGGTTTTTGGTCAGGGATTGTGTAGATTTGCAAATGCATACTCACAGAAATTAACGTATTGAATATGTGTAACCTTTTAGATATCAATTACACCTCAACAAGTGAACCTCTATTGGAAAACAGAGATGATCGTGTAACATGCAATAGGATCAAGGCTCCATAAAGAAAATAAATTTCTGAAAGAGAGAACAGACAGGAGATGGTGTGTGTGTGCATTCTCACACACAAGTGTGAGTGTTATGCTGGGCATGGAATCCTGGACCTTGTTCATGCTAACTAGGTTCTCCACCCCAACCTACAAAATTACTCCTAACCAAGAACTGCAGTGTGAACCCAACAAGAAGGGAGTATTCTTGTGGTGATGATAGAAGACATAAGATGTGCCCTGTACAAGAACTTAACAGTCACAATAAATGTGCAATTGTAATGAGTTCTATTCATATGCTCATTTAATAAGTGTGTTAGCATGGGTGAATATATAATGCAAAAAACAAATCATAAGCTAAGAACTCACACAATGACTGTGTTATTTAAAGTAGTATAAGCACCCTGATTTTCAGTTAAATTTTACTTGCACATAAAAAGGAATGAACTTGAGTCATTTTCAGGATGCTGTGTGATCTTGAGACCACAGTAGAAAGAGAAATAAGTCAGATCTAGAAACGTAAATGTCTTATATGATAAGCCCAATTAGAAATAAACAGTGAAATAAGGCAGAATTCTTGGAATAGGAGAAGGGGTGAAAAGGTATGGAGAGGGGAAAGAGGAAAAAACTATCAAGATAGGATTTCTGTTAACCTCCAGGGACATTATTCCACCCTGTACCACAATGATTTCTAATTTTTGCTTTTTTGTGACTATGCATCGATTGCCCGTGTTAATAAAGTTCCCTGTGTTGTTGAACACATGCATGAAGTATGCACTGCTTAACACAAATGAAAATCTAAAACATGTAAAACAGACATACAATCATAAGAAATTTTATGATAGGAATCTGGGTTTCTAAGTCAAGATTATATTACCAAAGAGCTGGAAATAATTTACTACCAGAAGAAGTCTTCTAAAATACATAGAAGGAACATCACGTAGTGTTATAATTTTTCCCTTCTGAAGATGTGGATCCAAACACATTCTCCCCTGAAATGGTGAAACTGAAGGAAAGCCTTCCAGATGGTGATGACCCTGACACCTCAGAAGTGTGTCCACCCAGGAAAGTCACAGACGCAAAAGGCAGAACAGAGGCGGAAAAAAACTATGATTTCCTAGCCCAAAAAATACAGAAGAATCTTCACTAGGTTTTTATTAAGATGAAGGACTCACAGCTATGGAATTAGTTCTTTCAGAAAAATAGGCAATGTGGGAATAATGTATATGACCCAAGATACATCCAATCCTAAAAAGTATAAATTTTCATGCCCTGCAAATGCATCTGTACATACACAAAAGAATTGAAGATCCAAAGGTTTGTGAAGGGAAATTTTAAAACTCCAATGCTTCATTGGAAAACTCCATTGGAAAACAAATCAAAATCCTCCCACAGAGTACGGGAGGGAAAGGCTGGCAGGGATGTTTTGTAATAAATAGAGAGGAGACTTCACTACCAAACTCTCAGCACATTTAGCCTCACAAGTGTTACAGTCACTGCAAACAAGGCTCTAGGCAAACCTTACCCCTGGCTAAATGGTTTCTGTGCGAGTGCCCAGTGATGGAGATAAAACTTGAAAAATGGGGCCCCATGAACTGTGATTGCAAGATGTGACAGGGACAGGTATTTCCTCTGCATCTTTCTCAATGCAGAAACAAAGTCCACTCTATTTCAACTTATGCATAACGACGACCTGGTTCCCTTTCATTTCCCTCCTAATCAACACCCACTCACCTGTGCCCTTAACTGTCAGGTGCTTGGATTTACATTCCTTTCCTGGAAACACTGTTAGGGACCAGTCTCTCTTCTCTTTGAGTTCCTGGTGCCCCCAAGTCTTGCTGACAATGACCCCAACTTAGTCAGATCTGTTTTAAGATCAGGAATTAACACCGCAGTGTTAATTATTCAGCAGAGCAATTAAGAGCCACAGCAGAATTCACTCCAGTTTAGGTCAGGATGAATCCCAGGGGCCTTCACAGTCCCACTCGTGGGTGGGTCTCATATCTTTCCCCGAGATCCCTACTGTGTGATCCCAGACTCACCTGAATGCAGGTTTAGGAGGAAGTTCTAAGGGCGGAAGTACAAGTCCTTCTCTGGATGGTTGAGTTGGGCACAGAAGCTTTGTCTCCCAAAAAGATGCAGCCAAACCAAAAAGGTGATTCCCCTACAGAAACCTGAGAAAAAAACCACTAGTGTCCTTGGCGGCTCGGATCTGTAGACTCTGAGGAGCATCCCAGGGAGGGTCTCGGCTGCCTGTACCTGCTTGTGGGCCCTCACCTCCTGGTTACACCCCCTCTAAATCCCTGATTGCCTGTGGGGAACTGGCCTGGAAAGACAGGTGATTATTCCTGCTGAGTCTGTGTCCCGTGTCCCCGGTCTGTGGTCCAGGAGGACTACTTAGTGTTTCCCTCTCCATTAACCCTCAAGCCTTCCAGAGAAATGATCTCCTAGTGCATTTTCCCCCGTAGGGATATAGTGTGTTTTTAAGGTGGACACTGGGGAATCCTCCTGCATGGCTCTTCCTCGGTCTTCAAAGCCCTGACTTGTGATGTGTAGAAAGCTCCTGACACCTCCAGAAAATCCCTGTGCTCAACTGAGCTGGCAGGGTCCCTTCACTCTGACACAGCACAGAGAGCAGTTCGTCTCCGAAGTTCTAGTAAACTTCACTGGTAAGTCTCTGAGTTACATTATCTGTCTTCAATTTTGTAATTCCAAAAGCCTCTAAAATGCCGTAGAATTACCTTTTTTAGAAAGGGTCCTGCTATAGTTCAGGCTGCAGGGCAACCTTTGCTTTCACAGTTTCCCTCTGGAAAGTCTTTTCAGAGCTCTCTTGATATCTTCGTTCCTCAGAACTTAGATGAAGGGGTTCAGCATGGGGGTGACCATGGTGTACATCACCGAGGCTGTTGCACTTGAGTGTGAGTTGTGCATGGCAGCAGAGCTAAGGTACACACCTAGACCTGAGCAATAGAATAAGGAGACCACTGCGAGGTGAGATGCGCAGGTGGAAAAGGCTTCATGCCCCCCTTAGCTGAAGAGATGGCACACTTGGAGGAGACGATCTTAGGGTAAGAGTACAGGATGCCAGCCTGGGAGCTAGTCCCCAACAGCACAGGTACCAAGTGCACCACAAGGTCATTGAGGACATTCTCAGCACAAGCAAGCTGGGCCACCTGATTGAGTTCACAGGAGAAGTGTGGGGTTTCCAGCTCCGTGCAGAAGGACAGAGGCAGCACCACGAGGCTTTAGAATAAGGCGTACAGGATGCTCACCATCCAGGACATCAGCATCAGCACTACACAGAGCAATGGGTGCATGATGACCACGTAACACAGGGGGTGACAGATGCTTACGAACCTGTAATAGGCCATGACACCCAGTCAGAAGTTGTCCACTTCTGCAAAGAGCAAGGGAAAGGACATCTGGACTATGCAGCCTGGGTAGGTAATGACCTGGCTGTGGGTCTGGATGTTCACCAGCATCTTGGGCACAGTGGTGGAGGTGAAGCCGATGTCCACAGAGGACAGGTTGGAGAGGAAGAAGTACATGGGTGTGTGCAGGTGGGGGTCGGAGACGATGGCCAGGAGGATGAGCAGGTTCCTGAGCACCGTGGTCAGGTACATGGAGAGGAAGAGCCCGTAGAGGAGGGGCTGCAGCTTTGGGTCCTCTGAGAGTCCCAGAAGGAGAAATTCTGAAATTTTAGTGCTATTTTCTGCTTCCTCATGGTGGATGCAACTACAATAAAACAGAAAAAGTGACATCAGTACTCTCTGTACCAATGCACACCAGTCTTACAAGTTGAAATGATCCAATTTATATTTTCTGGCCTATAAATTAATTCCCTAATATTGTCTTATGATCTGTTCCCTCTATAGCATGCCTAGCACTATTCCCAGTTCGGAATGTCTGTCCCACTTTAAATCTTGTCCCCAGAAGTCATGTGATGTCCGTTGAAGCTGGAGACCTATTTCTTACACTTGAGGAATGGATCCTGATTGTGGACCGTGTTCCAGGCCAACTCTAGACCGCAGCCAAGCAAAAGTTTTCACATTCCAGCGATGGCTGAAATACATGCAAGTGAGGAATGCACGTGCCTATTTACTGTTTTGCTAAAGGCGTTACATACATTTGCAAATACTCACCAGCGGGAACACATAAGCCAAATACTAAGAGTGTCTTAATAAAGCAGTGTCTAAAAAGAATAATCATGTGCTTTGCCAGATGTGAGGTAGCCATGGAGAAAGCAAAAACACATATATTAGAGCCTCCTCTTGCATGCCTGGGGTCCCTCGTGTGGATCCTGTGACACCGTGGGTGCTGGATAGGGTCTGCCTTTAGTCCTTACACCAACCCCAAGGTGGCATTTGGCATGGGTGTCTAGGCCAGAACAACAGAGGAGGTGACATTTAAACGGAGAGTTGGAGACGAGGAGGCAGGAGCCGGGAGGTTCTCTGCAGAAATGTTACCTGCACAGG